GCAAAGAAACAAAACTCCCCACCTCCTGAGTCACCCTGCGTTAAAAAGACTGCTCAGCCATTCAAGGCCGTTCTTTTTCCCCAGTTGCCGGGAAAGACAGAAAAATGTAATTGTAATTAAAACCTTACGGGAATATCTTTCAAGGCCTGGTTTTCAGTCTTGGGCCTTCCTTTCCGTTTGCCTTCTGTTTTGTCGTTCATTGCATTTCCTGCCAAGAGAGGGAGAGAAAAAAAAATGAGAAAGCCGTTGAAAACAACATTGCTTTCAACGTCGATGGAGATTCTCAGTCATCCAGGTCATCGTTGTCCCAAAGGTGCTTTTTTAAGAGGCAAAATTAGACTTTCTGTTTTTTCTTTCAAGATGTTTGGCTTCTCACCCGAGAAGTTCCTTCAGTTCTGGCTGAATGGTAGGGAATGGAAGAATTTGTATTTCTTGCAGAATAGCTGGTCATTTGTATTCTTTTAGCAAGTTGTTGAGGCTACCTGGAGGTTTATCTGTGCCCTCAAGTAGTACAAATGGGCGGGGAACCTTCTTGGAACTATTGAAAGGTCCACAGGTGGCCCTGAGGACACAGATAAACCTCCAAGTGGCCTCAACGACCTTCTAAAAGGATGCAAATGACCAGTTGTCTGCAAGGCATATAAATCCTTCCACTGCCCACCATCCAGTCAGAGCTGAAGAAGCTTCTTGGAGGAGAAGAGAAACATCTTCAAAGAAAAACCAGAAAGTCTAGTTGCTTAATTGCCTCTTGAAAAAGTGTCTGACTCTTGCTGATTCTATGGCCCAGTTCTCTCTCCATGCAGTTCAGGCAGTCCTCGACTTGTAACAGTTCTGACAGCGTTCCAGAAAACCTTCACTCTAACAAATAACTCCGAGACAGGCATCTTCTCAAAAGTTTTGTTTTATTTGGATAGTAAACTGGCACATCTGAGAAATCTCAAAGTTCTGGGCTTCCTTGCAATAAGCAAAAACTAGAAATCCACCCCCATGCAGCCAACATTGCATCACATGCCCCAATCACCCTCCGTCCCGACTTGAGACGTCCTCTCACCCAGGTGCAGAAATAACATGACCTTGACTTAGAAGAAGAATGCTGTTGTGTCTAACCACATTCGCTCCCAGAAATTCCCCCCTCCCATTTTCCCAGGCTCAAGAATGTGGCCGTGTGGAAGCGTTTGGTGCTAATATGGCTTCCAAAGCTGACTGGTTCATCTACTGATGGTTCAACATGACAATGGCAACTGAAAAAAAATGACTTTGGACTGTTTTTTTTCACATTTGCGACCACTGCAGTATCCCCATGGTCACGTGATCACAATAAAACTACCCCAAGGCAGCAAACATACCCAATACAAAAGTAGTCCTCAACTTACAACAGTTCGTTTGGTGTGTCACTGGCTGTGCCACCATGACTAATCACTGAGTCCTGATGGCGCAGTGGTTAGAATGCAGTATTGCAGGGCTGATTCTGCCGACTGCCAGCAGTTCGATCCTGACTGGCTCAAGGTCAACTCAGCCTTCCATCCTTCCGAGGTCGGTAAAGCCAGGACCCAGATTGTTTGGGGCTGACTTTGTAAACCACTTAGAGAGGACTGTAAAGCACCATGAAGCGGTATGTAAGTCTGCTCTTGCTTACTATCTATCTATCTATCTATCTATCTATCAGCTGTGGTGGCACAGTGGTGAGAATGCAGAATTGCAGGCTAACTCTGCCAACTGCCAGCAGTTTGATCCTGAGGGGCTCCAGGTTGACTCATCCTTCCAAGGTTGGTAAAATGAGGACCCAGATTGTTGGGGGCAATATGCTGACTTTGTAAACTGCTTAGAGAGGGCTGTAAAGCCCTGTGAAGCGGTATATAACTCTAAGGGTTATTGTCTTTGTTGCCGGATGTCTCAACAACCAGATATTCCAATTGTCCTATCGTTGGACACCCTATCTGAAATGTTTCGAGAGCCTTTCCGTACAATTTTCTTGGCAAATTGTGGACTTACTGAGTTCCATTCTACTTGCAAAAATGGAGTGGGGTTGGAAATGCCCACCCCTGGCCTACAGCCCATGCACATACATGCTAGTCGTTTCTGGCTCTAGCGGGCAGTGCTCATCTCCGTTACAAAGCCGAAGAGCCAGCACTGTCCGAAGACATCTCCATCTTCGGACAGTGCCAAAGGCCGGCATGATTGAACGGCGAAGGCGCACAGAACGCTGTTACCTTCCCACCAACGGGGTCTCTATTTTTCTACTTGCATTTTTTTACATGCTTTCGAACTGCTAGGTTGGCAGAAGCTGGGACAAGTAACGAGAGCTCAGTCCGTTATGAGGCGTTGGGGATTTGAACCGCCGAACTGCCAACCTTTCTGATCAACAAGCTCGGCGTCTTAGTCACTGAGTCACCTGCGTCCCGACTACAGCCCATAGGTGGAGTCAAAAGTTGACCTCCCTTGGAAAATCTAACGCCTACCAAGGTTAGACTGTTCATAGGCTGGGTGGACCTTCAGTTCTGCCTTTCTGCTTTCTCTCTCTGCGCTGGTCCGGCTGGATCCCGCAACCTTCTTTCCAACTCTGTAGGTATAATGGTCTGCCATTGCTGAAAGAAAGAAGAACATCAAACTCAAGAACCTGGACATTCACACAAGAGAGTTTGGGTTTTTTTTCAGACCTTCTGGGATGGAGGTCAAAGAGGTAGACCTTAACTCACTGCTGCTTCAGAACAGCCCTGCTGGATCAAGCCAAGCCCAGCCTTGGTCCAGAGACATCAGATGTCTCCTAATGACCAACCGGTTTTGGCCAATTCCTAAGCCAGGGGTGAAGATATGGGTCTCCCAATGTTGCCCTCTCTAAAGTGGCATCTTGGAGACCATCTGAACACCCAACCAAGAGAAGCTGGTGTGACACAGAGCAGGGGTCTCCAACCTTGGCAACTTTAAGCCTGGCGGACTTCAACTCCCAGAATTCCCCAGCCAATGTGGGGAATTCTGAGCACTGAAGTCCAGCCATTTTAAAGATGCTGAGGTTGAGAATGTGGTGGAAACTGTGCACCAAAGTTGCAATGCACATGAAATATAGGTAGTTCTCAATTTACCGCCACAATTGAGCCCAAAAATCTGCTGCTAACCGAGACAGCTGTTGTCAGAATTCCTGAGCTAACATAACTGTGGGAGGAATTCTGGGAGCTGAAGTCCACAAGTCTTAAACTTGCCAAGTTTGAAGACCCCCCTGACCATGATCCAAATTTGGGCGTTTGGCAAAGGGCACGTACAGATATCCCTCGATTTACAACAGCTCATTTAGTGACCGTTCGAAGTTACGACGCCACTGGGAAAAAGTGACTTATGACTGTTTTCCACACTTATGACCTTTGCAGCATCCCCATGGTTGCACGTGATTTACACTCAGGTGCTTTGACAACCGGTTTGTATTTATGACGGTCACAGTGCCCCAGGATCATAGGATCCCTTTTTGCAACCTTCTGACCAAAAAGGAAGCCAGATTCACTTCATATCCGAGTTACTATGGACTATGAATGGACTATGAATGCAAACATGCTTGTGAAGAAGGCAGAGAAGAGGCTGTACTTCCTGAGAATGCTCAGGAAGATAAAATCTATGTCAGCACCTACTTCTGTCCTATTAACAGAACACCATTGAGAGTGTCCTGACATACAGCATTCTCGTATGGGAGCAGCTCTGTAGCAAACCAAAAAGCTCTACAGAGGATCATTAAAACTGCCCAGAATATCACTGAGCTCCAGCTACCAGCCCTGGATGACATCTTCACATGTCACTGTTTAAGGAAGTTTCCAGAGACCCTTCCCATCCTGCTCACAATCTTTTATTTTTTTATTTTATTTTATACCAAATTTTTGATTTTTTAACAACAAGCATAAACAAACACAAACATAAACACAAAACATAAAACCACCAAATCCATTGTACAGTGTATCGGTTGGTACATATCTTCTGTGCACAATATCAACAGTCTTTCCCTTCTAGGTACGTTATTAAAATTCATATTATATAAATATGCATATTATATTATATTATTATTAATTCCTTATTGGACTTTAATTGTAAATCACATCATCCTTTTAGAGCAAATCTCAATTTTTTACATATTCCGATTCATATTGTTCATTTCATTGTAATCAGTTATAACATATGACAGTGTCTTATCTTTACTGTATTATTATATTTATATTGTATTATTGCTCACAATCTTTATGAACTGCTGCCTTCTAGCAAATGATACAAAACAATTAAAACTCGGACCACAGAATTCTGAATAGTTTTTATCCCAGAGCTATAATTGCACTTAACAAGGAACTTAAGGACCACCATCAGTGAGTTGTTGGACAGAATTACTTGGTCTGTTGCGTGGATGCTTGTGTGTTTTTTAGGGGATGGGGAATTTTGGCAGGTGGGGAGGTGTTTGGGGATTGTCATGTGAGTGTGTGCATGTTGGGTCTGGTCTCTGGGTGTTATGGGAAAGGGGTTTGAAAGAGCAGCGCGGCAGCTTGGAAACCGAAAGCGCATTCCATAAATATTTTTCAAAGATAGTAACTAGGGGACTGAAGTTTCTGCTGGGCAAAATTCTAACATCTGACTTAGGGGGATGATGGCAGGAAGGTCAAAAAAGTCAAGATGGTAGACACAATCTTGTGATCAAAGCCCTCTGCCTTCCCTACACGAATGGAAGGGCTGTGATTGTGTGGTTGTGGCCACTATTTTGAGTTTTTGACCTGTACCCTGTGACCCAGCCCTGCCTTCCAGTGTCTAATGCAGGGGCTCCCCAAACTTGGCAACTTTTAGACTTGTGGACTTCAACTCCCAGAATTCCTCCTCCAGTTGGCTCAGGAATTCTGGGAGTTGAAGTCCACAAGCCTTAAAGTTGCCAAGGTTAGAGACCCCTGGTCTAAAGTATTATACAACCAGACACAGGATTGAAAAATAGGAATCATCAATGGAACGGATTGCCTCCTGTAGTTTTGGGTTTTCAAGAAGAGACTGGACAACCAGTTGACCAGGATGGTATAAATAAGGTCTCCTTGCCTTGAGTAGGGGTTGGTCTAGAAGACCTCGAAGATCCCTTCCAGCTCTAGCGTTCTACATGGAATTCTACAGATTTACGCATTTTCAATTTTGCATCAAGTCTGGACAATTTAGTGCACAACGGCAGCAGTTTTTTTTATTTTGCACTTAACTAAAATAATGCATTTTTATTTTGTATAAGATAATGCATAATTGCCAGTGCTCCACTCCTGGTTACTGTCTATTCCTGTTGCTATGCAGTCAATCTTTATATGTTGCTTTAGTTTAGGCACATTTCATCTGGCTTTTTATTAACTTAGCAAATTGTTCAGTACGGTCAACGTAACATGAAATGGTAACTGAGTGTAAGTAAGTCGACGGAGTTTCTGAAGTGAAGCACGCAAAGGTTCTCAGAGTAAATAACAGAACCTTTTAAGCAATCTTCTTTAGCCTTATTTTACGTGGGTTCCATTCACACATTAACCCATTTTCTGGGCTTCACTGATCAAATTGATATTGATACAAATATATGGATAAGCAAATTGGCTAGTTTCGAGGGAAGGAGGGAGGGAAGGAAGTGAAAAGAAGGGAACAGGGTGGAAGGAAGGATAACAGAAGGAAGGAAGGAAGGAAGGAAGGAAGTGAAAAGAAGGGAGTAGGGTGGAAGGAAGGATAACAGAAGGAAGGAAGGAAGGAAGGAAGGAAGGAAGGAAGGAAGGAAGGAAGGGAAAAGAAGGGAGTAGGGTGGAAGGAAGGATAACAGAAGGAAGGAAGGAAGTGAAAAGGGAGTAGGGTGGAAGGAAGGAGGAAGGAAGGAAGGAAGGAAGGGAAAAGAAGAGGGAAGGAGGAATGGAGGAAAGAAGGAAGGAAAGGAAAAGAAGGGAGAAGGGCAGAAAGAAGGAAAGGAAAAGGAGGGAAATACAGGGAGGGGGGGAAGATTAAGAAGGGAGGGAAGGAGAAAAGGAAGAAGGGAAAAAAGGGACAATTAGAACATAGAACAGAATTGGAAGGGACCTTGTAGGTCATCTAGTCCAGTGGTTGCCAACCAGTGGGTCAGGGACCACTGGTGGTCTTGCAAGAAAATTTTGGTGGTCTGCAGAGAAATGTCACCCCCAAAGCAATTAATCCAGGCTGCACAGGAACACAAGGCTGTGCCGCCCACATGGCCCGCGGGAATACAAGGCTTGCGTGGCTTGCATTGCGAACAACACGAGGTAGTGAGGGGAGGGGAGAAGTGGGGGGGAAACTTGCCCCACTCGCCCCACGTGTCTTGCTTGGCCACCGGGCTGCTTCTTTCCGCTTCTTTCTTCTTCTGCTATTGGCTACACGCAAGGAAAGCAGCAAAAGTCTTTCTTTCTCTCCCCCAAACTCCGCCAGAAATGGGTCTTTGGGACCCTGCAAGGCCTCCTGCTCCAAGAGGCTGCACCAGCACAACAAGTCTCACAAAGACTCATTTCTGGCGGAGTTTGGGGGAGAGAAAGAAAGACTTCTGCTGCTTTCCTTGCATGAAGCCAAAACACTCTCTCTCTCTCTCTCTCTCTCTCTCCACCCCCGTGATTTTGATCCCCCCATTTTCCTACCGATCGATAATTTTTTATTTGGGATCACAGGATACCTTCTCCAGCTCCGTTCTCGGGGGGGGGGGGGGGGGGGGAAGAGAGAGACTTTTCACTTCATGAAAGGAAAGCAGCAGAATTCTGGGAGTTGAAGTCCACAATTGCCACAGTTGAACTGGCAGGGGAATTCTGGGAGTTGAACTACACAAGCCTTAAAGTTGCCAATGTTAAAGACCCCTGCCCTACATTCTTGTCGTCATATTCCCCTCACTGCAGCACTGACCAACGTTTTAAAATTTCTCTTTCTGCGCAACGCCTGTTCGGTTTTGTTCATTTCTCTATAGCAAACTTCTCCCACTTCAAAACTTGAAAGCTGTATTCCCTACTACGCCCACGGAACAAGGATTAAGGAAGGAGGATTAAGTGAAAACAGACACTTTTCCTCATCTTGCTGTTGCAGGCATTATGATTCAATTTTTATTTTAAAAAAAGGAAGGCAGAAGAGAGGGAGAAAGTCAGTAGTATTATTTGATTTTTTTAAAAATATTCTTTTTAAAATCCCACCTTTCTTATTTTTATAAATAACTCAAGGCAGCGAATATACCCAGCATATATTTTGCCTCCTTTTCACCACAACAACATGCCTGTGAGGTGGGTTGGGCTAAGAGACAGCGACTGGCCCAAATCACTTGCCTAAACTGGACTAGAACTCACCATCTCCTGGTGATTGGGAAATCACCCAACCAGCTTTCATGGCTAAGGTGGGACTAGAACTCACAGTGTCTTGATGTTTGGCCCAAAGTCACCTAGCTGGCTTTCATCACTAAGATGGAACTAGAACTCACTGTCACCTGGTGACTGGCCGAAAGTCACCCAACCAGCTTTCATGGTTAAGATGGAACTAGAAATCACACTCTCCTGTTGACTGGCTCAAAGTAATTCAATCACTTTTCATGCCTAAAGCAGAATTAGAACTCAGGATCTCCTGCTATCTCTCCCTGTGCCTTCATCCCTACAGAT